TCCTTCCTTCCTTCCTTCCTTCCTTGTCTTGAATTGTTGTACAGCCAGACTTCTAACAGGTCACAACAATGTGCAACGTATAAAAAGTAAAACACCCCTCAAAATGTTATAAAATCATCATAAAATGATGAAAAGGCAATAGCAGTGAATACAAACAAACAGCCTGATGCCAGTTCTCACTCCTCTAATTCTGCTAGCAGGCAATTCCTTTGGGTTCTGTATTCTTCAACTAAGGATCCACGGAATCTAATAGTATCCTGACAGCTCTCCCTGATTATATCCCAATTAAAAGACAGTCTGAAAACATGACTTTATTGTAGTTGTTATACTTCGGAGTTGCTCTTCAGGTGCTCTTCGGGAGACTGCTTGTAGCTGGGGTCTGTCTCAGGGGGGAAACGCTATGCCTAAAACTTGTTTTACCTATAAAATTACACATCAAACTCCTATTTCTCAAGGTACAGATAAAAATCAACCCCAGTGATTTACGGATCGATACATTTCGAGCAAAAGGAGCTGGTGGACAGCATGTTAATAAAACAGAGAGCGCTGTTAGAGTTGTACACATCCCTACAGGTATCGGTGTTATATATTTTATCATTATTCCCTTATTCATATAAATGCATATAAATATTAGCCCAATCAGCTGCAAAACCTCCTGGTCAGAAACAGGATGGTGCTGCATTAGGGCTCAGCATTTACCTTAATGTAATACTGGTTTTTGGCAAGGAATCCCCCCCCCTTATTTTAATACTATGTGTTTGTTTTATGCTATGGAGGGAAAACTATTTTTTTTCCTAACCAATTTAGCTTTTAAACTTTCATTTTACACTGTGGTATGCTGACGAACTTATATAGATTTTTGTTTTTATAACTTATAAACCAGGGGATGGACAATTCCCAAGTTCCTTTACCCTTGTTAAAGGCCAGCTTGATAGCTGCTGGCATTGGCATCTGGCACAAACAGGTGACACCAAAAATGTGTGTTGTGACAGTGCAAAACCTGGGCTTTCATACGGGCATCCCCATACTGGACTTTTCATAATTTTCTCCTTTTCTGCACTGTTGCACCTTTTTGCAAGCTGCATTGTGAACCTGAAAGCCAGTGGAAACTGCTTGTCAGCAGAATGAGATTTGTATTGACAGGCGTCATACTTACTCCAATGCTTTTCAGTTAATATACTGTGTAGGAGAGCAATGTAAAGCAAAGCCTTTTAGCTCTTCTCTCCTCCGAGTTATTCCATATTGTCTGTCTATATTTTAAGAAATTAAGTTTTTTTAAAAATGGAACTCCTTGGGGAGTCTGACTTAAAAAAAAACCCACGTGCATTTGAAGACAGAACTGGATAGGTGGCCTGAAATTCAGGATCTATTTCTCATCTATAAAACAATGCAGTTTGTAGAAAAGTGCCATAAGGGTGAAATGGTGCTTAACATCTTGAATGTATTTTTCTTTTCTGCTGTTTTCCCCTTCCAGCAATGATTTTCTTCCCAACAACCTACACAAACATATGTAGTCCTATTCAGAATTTGGGATGGAAATAGATCTGGAACTCTACTCATAAGGGTGAAAATGACATAGAAGAATTTAAATAATGAGGGCCTATGTGACTCATGCTTAGTACAGTGCAAATTATATTCTCCCTTTTTTATATAGGATCTTGCCATAATGGCCAAGAAAGGACAGTTTGTAATAGAGATAATATTCATAATATTATGGAATATTAATGTCCTAATCTCTGTTTACTATATTCTAATAGGCTATTTTTTTTTCTTTTACACCTGAAGGTTTTCTATGCTCCTTTACTTTCTTATCTGTTACTTACATAAAATTTTACCTTATCCTTTTCCCCCAAATATAAGAACAACATTTGTTGTGAGGCTTCTTTATATAAAAAAATCATTCTAGGGGAGAAGAATGGATTTTTAAGCCTAAAGTAAAAGATGCACAGACGACAGCCTAAACTTCACGCTGTTTATATACACTGTTCCTTGAAACAAGATTTTTGGGTGTTAATTAAACTGGGAGAGGTGTTCTTGTTAGCCTCGCTGGCTCGCAAAAGTTACTTTGCAGATGCCTGACGGATGTTTTCTCGCCTGTTGGAGGGATCAGTGTTGAATGCCAGCAGGATCGATCTCAGCTGATGAATAAGGAAACAGCGTTGCAGACCCTGAGAGAGAAGCTCTACCTTCAGAGTGTTATGAAAGAAATAAACGAACAACAGAGTACGAGAAGACTGCAGGTGGGATCATACTTCTTTTGCCTCTGAATCAGCGTTAGGGATGAGGACCCGCTTGCCTCTGTAGAAGAGGGAGATAAAGACCGCCATCCCTCAAAGACTACATGCTTTGCATAGCCCCTCCCAGCCTCGCGAGGTAGTCCAAACTAGAAGCACACCCAAGAATTCCAGCTCTTTGGTAAGACTACCTTAGCAGAATCTTGCAGGTCTGAAAGTACCCCTCCCATCCCTTGCTTTTACTCTCCCGAAAACTAGGGAGGGTCCCTTCTGAGTCGCTTTCCCCATCCCTCCTCCTCCAGACTCAAATTTTGTTTATCAGACTGTGGTCTAGGCTGCGGCTCTTCCTCCTGTCTCCTAAGGTCATTCCCACACACCATTACAGCCCCAACATTGCTGTTTTAAGGGGAGCACTGAAAAAGATTGGCTAAGCTCTTGCGTGGGAACTGAGCAATCATAGCTTGCCAGAGTTGACAGGATCTAACTGGTTGATCTGACTCATCATCACTGGGAAGCCGGTGGTGTTTTCCCATGTGCTCTAACCAGGAAGAACTTTCCTTCATGCGCAATAGTGGCTGATGTTCCTATTTCTTCCAAGAGATGCACAATACAGCCTCCATAAGGAACTGCAGGAATGATCTTGGAGAAACTCTGTTGTGATCATTACAAAAACATGATTTAAGCCCAGGACGGGAAGAAAACATTAGAAAGATGCTGACTCCACCTTAACTCCCTGGCATATACTGTAAGAGGGAAGGACAGAAAATGCTGTTAGGCCTTCGAGATTCTGTTACTATAGGCCAGTGTTTCTCAACCTTGGCCACTTTAAGATGAGTGGACTTCAACTCCAAACAATTAAAGGAGACACCTACCATGGCTGGCTGGGGAATTCTGGGAGTTGAAGTCCACTCATCTTAAAGTTGCTAAGGCTAAGAAACACTGCTATAGCTTGTTTCAATAAAGTAGAGTTCCTGTATTACTTGGGTAGTCTGTTTCCTAACTTGGCCTACCTCAAAGAGCCAACAGCCTCCCAAATCTTTAGCGTATAGCCCAGAGACCTCCAGAAGTGACCAAATTGTTAATGTGACAGCAGGCAAAATGATTCACTGCATGAGCAGAGACTGGATGTATAACTAAACTTTAATTCGGTGGAAATTGAATTTTGTTTTTGTCCTTTTAATTGAATAGTCATTTACCCAAGAAAGAGAAAGAACTAAAGAAAGAAACAATGTTAGAAGGACAAGCACACACACGAAAATAAACAAATGAAAGTAAAAGATGCTCTTAAGAAGAAAAGTCCAAAAGTTGCTCATGGTTTCCATATGTCGTAAGAGTTGACAAGATTATACCTGTTGCAATTAACGTAATGAATATATTATTATATTATTATTTATTTAAATTTGTTATGGCCACCAGTAGACTCTGAGCAGCTGACAAATTCTAAAAAAGCAGTAAAAACATTAAGAACATAAAACAACACAAGGCAGTCTGGGCTACAACAGCTGTAACAATAAGCAAAACACAAAGTACCCACAAACATCATAACCCCAGGACTGGGACCATGTAACTGGGCCCAAACGTGATAAAAGTGTGATTCTTGCCTCTGGATGTTCATTGTTTTAAGTTTATCAGTATTTTTTTTTCCTAATAAAGCAGTTGAAAAAGCTTTTTGAATCCACAGATCAGTTGTTAAATTTTCAAGAAATTTCCACCGTGGAGCAATACCTGTTTTGCTGTCAAAACTATATAGACAATCAGCTCCTTATTTTTGAGTGGAGCATTGGATTGTATCCAGTTCAATTCAACCAGCCTAGCTCTGTGAAACAGGTGACTCTTGGTTTTGAAATAATGCTAATTTTGCATGTCCATACTGGACAGATGATAAAATATCCCTTCCATATCCCTTCCAACATTTTGAAGAGACATTGCATAGTATATATGCTAATCTAGCAGGAGTTAAATGCTGCCCACGTATCACCTTCAACCCAAGCGTCCCTTAAGCCAGAAACAGGATCCCCTATTTCCATGTACAATAACTACTTACTTCTTTATTGCCAACTCATACTTAATGCTTCTGCTTTCTGTTGTTGCCACGACAACAAGGTGGGTTGGGCTGAGAGAGATTGACTGGCCCAAAGTTACCATTATAGATCTTTCGTGTCATTCCTTTTGATTGTGCCAACTCAAAGGAATAGACTCTAAGTCAAGCCTAAGCAGAACATTATTAAGTGCAGCCTGTAGTTAATTCTGTGCCAACTTTGGGATGTTGATAGAGTTCAGGACTTCCCAGCCTACGTAGCCTGGAATGACGTTATATACACATGTATGTTTGCATGACTACCCCACTGCTGTTAAGCTTTTGTTGCCCTACTGTGGTTTTAGTTTAGATTTATTTTTGTTTGTACACTGGTATTGGACTTCAACAATAAAGATTCATAAAAGATTTGTTCACTAGATACCTCTCTGAATATAGAAAAACATCCAATGTGATTTTTGAAAATTCACTGAGGGACCTCTGACCTCCGCAGACCCATTAAGTCACAGTAGCAAATGCCCAGCTGGTCTTGTGCATTCTTCTTCTTGGTCATAAGACAGATGAAAAACCATTCCTCATTTGGGCTCCTTGCAACCCAGCAAAAATCTGTTTCCTGTGCTAAAATGTAAGGTTGTTATAAGAAATTAAAAACAGCAAAGTGCATGTTATAATACACTGTAAACAAGCATTTTAAGTCTTCTGTTAATTGTGTGTTGGTATAGATCTACATAACACTTTGCCTACAGTAAAAACAAAACATTCTCAGTGTAGGTTTGAACATTCCTACTGTATGTGTATTGCACAGTGGTGTTTCTTCTTTTAACTTATACTGTTTTTAAAATAGTGAAATGAAGTGTAACAATATCTTCTTTCACAGTTAGGGACAAGAGCCCAATCGGAGAGGATTCGCACATATAACTTCAACCAAGATAGAGTGACTGACCATAGGATTTCCTATGAAGTCCGTGATATCAAGGTATCTATTCTAAGCCAGATGGGCAGATTTCTGGCAGCTCCAAGGACCATAGAAGGTGCAATGATGATGTGCTGAAGGGCCAACTTTGAATATATTACCCCTTTTTCAGTTTTTTTGGGGTGTTTTTAAAGATGGTCTTATTTCAGAAGCTAACCAAGAACAATTGCACTGCTGAACATTTGCATTGTGCCACTGATACTCAGTGGCAAAACTATAGAGGGCTCTGAAGCCATAAAACCCAATGTGAGAGATGGGTTGATAGCTGCTTTTCTAAGATGATGACAATATGGGGCTGTCTTACTGGGAAGACTTGTTTGCCCAGTATTCCTTTTCTGATTCTTTTTTCTGTCCAGTTTTCCTTTTCTAATCAACCGAGAAGAGACTCAATTTTTTTTCTTTAAATCAAAGCTATGAAGTGACCTCTTTTAAAACGGAAGCTTCTACAGCTTCAGCTTTACCATTAAGCTATAACTGTGCCCCTTTATCATGTCATCAAAATCAAAATAATGTATTTATATTGTAAACTAGGTTTTTTTCAGAAGAAGGGCTTTGTATTTTGTGTGAACACAGCACTTCTGCTATTCCTTAAAATAGCTCATCTTTTTCAAGCTTCCAGTGGGCCTGAAAAAATGATGCAGCTGCTTTAAAGAATCCATCCATTAGAGTTATTTTGACTCGTAAGTGCAGAAGCCTGAAAAGAGAAGGCTGCTCTGTGAATAACAGAGAGGTACTGTCTTTTGGCTTGCATGAGATCTGAAGTGTTATGCTAATAATTGACCCCCAGGAGGCAGCCAATGACTGGTTTTGCAGTTGTGGGCTACCTTCTAGTGGTCAGTTAGTGACATAATGTTACAAGAATGTAGATGTGGGTTGTTCCCCCCAATCCACCAAGTTTTGGCAGCGGGAGGTGGATTTGTAACCTCACATAGGAGGGAAGGTCACTGTAACATCTCAATTTTTCTAACAAGTTAAAAAAGAAAGGTGTACTGCATTATAGATGTACACCATGAGATCTGAAGTACTTCTGAATCATTTCAAAGCCCTCTAGACAAGTAGAGTGTTGTGCTGGCCAGATCTGTACTGATAAAGATAAACAAAGGTTACTTTGATCCTCTCTGTCCACAGTAACTTATTCAAATTTTTGCTTTGTTTGGTAGGAATTTTTAAATGGTAAAGAACATCTGGATAATCTAATCAGCAGACTGTTGGAGGCTTCACAGATGAAACTTCTGACTGAGCATTTGGAAAACAATTTAAAATCTCTATAAGCAGGCTCCTGAATTGATGAATGTACTTTAGAAAACCCTTTTATTGTGTTTGTAAAATTAAAGAGAACCATCTAAGAAGCACTAGTATCTTTGTTTGATTTCATATTTGGTTAACATGGTCTGTGGTTCCACAAGCATTTTCCAAAGAAATAGTCTACATTTTTTCCCACTATATACAAAGTGAGTACATAACTTAGTAGAATTTCACAGAGAAGTAGTTTCTTTAGTATCCAGTTCTGGCTTGGTGATTGGTCTATCAAAGTGGGATGAATAGATTAATAAGCGAGTAAATTAAAAGAAATCAGTAGTCTATGAAGGTTGCTGATGAATGTAACTCTTATAGGGACATATTCTCTAGAGAAAAAAAGTAGTATTTGAAGTCATTTTCCAGGATATATTCTGCAAAGTGCACAGACAAAACAAAGAAAGGAAAACACAGGGGTATTCACAATGGCCGTAAGAAAAATTCCAGCAAATATATTGAGACAACACTCAAAATAGATTAATCAAAGACCACACAAAGGGTGTAGATGTTCACTGCATGAATATGATAAGGGAAACGAATTGATGAAAATGGGGAGCACGTAGAGAGAAAGAAAAATAAATGCTAATTTGATACTGAAAACTGGTGGTTATTTCAAGTTGGTTCTAAGTAGAGATGGTTCTGGACAGAGTTTGCAGCCTTTCACCTGGGCTCCACCTGTGGCTGTGGCGGATTCAGATTGTCTCAAGGATGCAGAGGGTAGACCAAGCCAAAATGCGGAGTAATCACACATAAGCAAGCACATTCTAGTTTTTCAACTCTTTTGATTTCAGTGTGCTTTTATTCTTTTAAGATTAAAAGTCACAAAAGGACGATTATATTAAATCTATTAAAATGTATTAAATCTATTAGAAAGCTTACAGCATTTCCCAACCAGAACATATAATTAATAGGATTTTATTTTAAATTACTTTGCTGTTTTGTTTTTTTTTTAAACTTCATTTCAGACATCCTGGATCCAAAATTTTAAAGTTTCAAAATCAAACAGTAGTTGATAGTATAGAAGGGCCCAGACTACAGTGTAGGAAACTGATTTCACTCCATTGCAATCTTGTTCTACACTCAGCATATGTTCTGCTCTTAACTTCAAGAGTACTGCTAAGTTCAGCTTTGCTCTTGATTTGTGGGTTTGGAGCCTCCTAGTTTACCCGTGAGTAAGCTGGTTAATTTTCTTAAGCCCTTCTTTGTTGTTAATAGTCTTATACACTGTAATGAGAAAAGGAAAGGCAGAAGGCAGTTCCACCTTATTACTCAACTTCTGATGGCCCCAGTGAAGACAACGAAGCTTATCAGCCAAATCTTTTCTCCCTGACCTTTCCAAAGCCTCTTGAAGCAGCTTTGTCTTGTTCGGTTTCTCCCATGATCTTTCATACCTGGAAGTGAATGGACAACAGAGAGAGATTCAGGGTAGTTGTAGAAGGAAACAATCAATTCAATAGAGCTTTAAAAAAATGCATGCAGTTCTCAGGGCCCAGTTTTGGGGACTTCAAACTGCCTGCAACATCTCCCTACCAATATTTCAATTAACTGACTTTGAAAAAGGTTGCATTTCCCACATCAAAAGTTATGTACATTAAAAATAGTATCTGTCTTTAAAATTAGTATAAATGTAGGGTGTATATTTAAAACCATGATTTAGATATATATGCAACTGAAATCCCATTTTAGTGGACTAATTGGAAGAAATTTCCATTGTTGAAGGAAGTCTGTTGAATTAGAAAGAACATCATGGGGATTTATGTCATTTTTGTATGATGGGGTAGTCACAAAAATTACATCATTTGTGATAAATCATCTCATTTGCACGATCACCTTATGCAAATGTCCTTTACATAATGTTACTTAAATAATGCAAAGCACAGCAGAAATTTGGTCCTGCTGTCTGCATAAACATTGCATTACACTGAAGTCTGGTAAAAAGATGTTTCACTGAATAATGAAAATATTAGATACACTTAATACAGTTTCAAAAATACTTTCCCTCTTCCAAAAGGGGGAAAAATCAGAAACTCCTGGCCTTACCTACCCAGCATTCCTACTTCTCCAGCTGAAGCTTTTATCTCCCCAAAATTTAAGCATCAGCCCCAGGCTTCAAAGGTTTCTGAACTCTGCCTTGGGGACTTTGTAATTTAATCTTCAAACAGTGTTGACTAGTTTAGAGTAGCGATGCATCAGTCTTGTCTCTTTGTAGTTGTGCATCACCTTTGCCTGTTCTTAGTATGGCCAGATCTGGTGGTTATCACCTTGCATCAGTTACATCCCAATTAGTAACGTGAGTCCATTCTTGGAAAGCATTTTAGGGATGTCTGTGCAGAACGCTACTTATGAAAGCCTACCTAGATCTAAGAGTTTGGATTGCCTACGTCTTCTATTATATCCAATATACTGAATGCTGGATTTCTACAGTTCAATTCAGTGCAGCTCTGTTTTCAAACAGCTTGGGAAGACTGTCTTCTCCCAGATGAATCTGACTCTTCTTTAAAAATCACTGGAAGCAGCCTTCTTGCATGCGCCATTGGCTTTGGCGATATGGCAGGAGATTAGGGACCCTTTTGCACACTAACACCCATCATTCAACTGTCTGGATATTCAGTCTGAAGACTTGTTTTTCTCAACAAGTCTTTGATCCTTTTGCTGTTCAAGTTATTTTCTCTTAGTTCCGCATGTTTGAGTTCACATTTATGCTTTAGGTCCTCAGCTACTTCTTTGATAGTAAATCAATCTTGAAAAGTTGTAGCCTGGTTTTACATTTAAAAAACAATAACATTTTTTTTAGTCCTCTGATTTTACCAGCTTGTCTCAGGAATAGAAAATAGCCTGATGAAACATTCCAGACGTGGAAAGCTTGACCTGACCAAAGAAATTAGCACCAGAAGAGATGTTGCCACTTTTATGTAGAGGAATAGAGTGATGTATGATTTTGAACATGGAAGAATGTTCCTTGCACATCCAACTTAGGAGTATAGCAGGTCATCATTATTATGAGTCCGTTCTCTGTATTTTTTGCCAGTTATCTTGAGGAAGGAACCATGGGGTCTTTTAAGTTTCTTCTAAGTTAAGGAAAGAATTATGCTTGAGGTGTAATTATTTTCAGAAAGGTAGCCTTAAGTCTGCTGTAGCTACAAGAAATAATTTATGGTGCCCTAAAGGTTAACATTGCATATTCTTGTTTTATAATCACAACTGTTGGTGAATGGCTACTGTCAGGAATGTAGGTATCCTTATCAATATTCACACCATCTACATTTCATGACCTATCACCACCACCCATCCATTCATCCTTGGGTCATGATAATTCT